TCATACATGTAGTTTCCACGTCTCCACCTGTTTTGATCCCTCTTCCAGTGTGATGAGGTCCAGTTCCCACTCTTGCCTCGTAGGTCAGTAACAAGCCTTGCTGCATAGGCTACTTTTGGTCTAGTTATACCTTTGTTATGCTTTTTTTACGTGGGGGTTCCATGCTGGAGCTGCATACTCAGGAATGGTTTTCACATGGGCTGCATACAGGACCCTGAACGCTCCTTAAGGCTACTCGAAGACTGGTGATGTTCTGCTAATGTGGAAGTTTGGTATTAGGTTTAGTTTTATTTACGTCTTTCTCTTTTTCTTGTGCAGGAATCTGTCTTCATGATTAGATTCAGTAGCCATGTTTCAGATCACTTTGGAGAACGTGAAAATTCCTTTGGAGATCTGGCCTATAATAGTCTTCCTCGGTTAATTTTTTTTCATTCATTTTTGCATGGTGTGTGATGTCTTTACTCATCTATTTGTGCCATCATCTCTTGATTCTCGGTTTTCCATATATTGTATAAGCTACGCTCATGTCCCAGCCCGTCCTCCTAAGGTTTCTCAACGTCAAGAAAACGGTCAATTTAAAGTGTCCTCTCCTAACCTACCAGAGGACCCAAAACGGGACTTCACGAAAGTACTTCATTTTCGCGAGCCGTTCCATTTTCTAGTACGACCATTTTTGGCCTTATGTAACGCATACGATCGAAATGCGACGTTCTTTGTAAGAGGACAGGTATATCCAATGAAGTAATATTAGGTATTACTACATAGGTACATATACCTACATTACTCTGTAGGTATATCCTATGTAGTAATTCCTGACCTACATGTTTCCTATCATATCCCAGCGGGTCTTTACTGGACCACTTTGCATATATTGTTAGTTCTCTTGGGGTACGATGACGCCTTCACCTGTCCCGTCTCTCGTCAGTCATTACGTGTCGTTCTGGGTACAGTGAAGTGTACGACTATCCCACCGTAGTGAGTTTTTTTTTTATTATTATTATTTTCTACCACAGACGTGGCCACACATTTACAATGCTAGCCAGCATATATACATTTTCTTCTGTCCTCCATGGACAGGGTTAGAGATGTGTTAAACATATAGTTCAAGGGTTTATTGAACACATGTGGAGGAGTATAGGACAGAGTACCTAGCTCCTGTCGTAGTTTCCCTCGCCTCATTGTGAATGTCTCCTCAATTTCTTCAACTTCTTTCTTTATTATGCACCCCATATCCATGCCGTGGGCGGTGGTGGAAAGGGTTACAGAGGCACATCATCGGTTCAGGAACTGAACCCCATAGTTCGTCTCCAGTTAGGTATTTTTTCATTCAATTCAGTAATATTTTACACACACTCGCCTGCTTATCGAGTTTGTAAGACACTTATACCGCACTGTGTTGAAAGCTTTTTGGCACTGTTAAGATGGAGTCGTCCCATCCATCTTAATTAGTCAATGCATGGTTATACGACTACCAGGGACCATTACCCTTCATTATAGCAACATTCTTTCTTGTTTGCAAACCTAATTTGTATCCAAAGTTTCATTTGTTTTCTTATTTTTCTTTTAAGCACTTTGCGGGGTATTTATGTCAGTGACATCGCTCTGTAACTCAGCACCTTCTGTCTATCCCCTTTCATGTTTCTCATTGCCACGTTAGGTGTCACGTCCCTCTATAGTGAAGTCAATGCTAGAGATTGACCTGAAGAGCAATGCTAGACATGGACCTGAAGAGCAATGCTAGACATGGACCTGAAGAGCAATGCTAGACATTGACCTGAAGAGCAATGCTAAACATTGACCTGAAGAGCAATGCTAGACATTGACCTGAAGAGCAATGCTAGACATTGACCTGAAGAGCAATGCTAGACACTGACCTGAAGAGCAATGCTAGACATGGAGTGAAAGCATGTGTAGTGACTTCGAGCATCCATGATGATGTGTTGTCAGACATTATAACCTAAAATTCTTCAATATATTTCTACCTCTTTTGTTAGTGTTTAACCATTCTCTTATTTGGGATTGTCTTTTCTTTCCTGTGGGACTGTCTGTGATGAGTCGTGAATTCCTCCTCGAGCCTCACATTGAGCTGCTCTGGGATCTCATTCTTTTGTTTGTTTTCCTCTCTTGTTCAGTCCAGTCAGTTGTCATGGAGCTGCTTCAGATGATTTTTGCCTTCGATGCAATTTTATTTTCATATTACATTATTATTTCCTTCTTGTGCTTATGTACTTATTCCTTTTTTGTAGGGATTGAAGTTTTACTGTTTACGTTTTTTCTCACACTCCTGCTTTTTCCTTTTTTAATGTTGACATTACCTGTTGAACCATGGATTGCCATATTCCTCTGCTTGTTTGTTTCCTAGTGGCAGGAATATAGGTATCTGTTCCCAGCCTCTGAATCTCCGTTTGATCTGTTCCATGACTTTATGGTGTGTCATACCCAAAGTTCTTCCTTCCTGTTGGCCCCAGACAGCTGTCTCGATGTCTCGGGTACCTGAAGG